GTGGGATGCGCGTCCCCAAATGGATGCTGCCACACTTAGCGGACGAGGAAATCCGTCGCCTCCGCCCAGACATCATGTTCATCCCCGACCTCCCCGCGCACAGAACCAAGCGCAAACGGTACCAGGGGCCGGAGTGCAAATCCAAGCACGATGTATACATTGTTGAAGTGGGCTACACCAGTGACCTGCAGCACTCCGACAAACTCGAACAGAAAACCGCACAGCATGCACGGCTAACAGAGGAACTCACGAAAGCAGGCTGGACGGTGCACTACACCGAGGCGCAAATTGTCACCCTGGGAAGTACTGGGACACTAACCAACACACTAAAACCGCTACTGTGCAGACTCGGCTCGTCCGCTGAGCAGGCCCAGAAGACCTGCCTGCACCTCCACCGGCAAACAATCGAAGCAGCGGGCACGATTATCCGGGCGCGGCGAGTACTGGAGGGTACAGTCAAGTAACCGGTACAACCCGAACGGTTTCCCACGGTGGTGCGGGCATACAGGAGCGGCTACGCCGCCCCTCAGTTCCCCACCCCCTTAACACACGCCAGGCCCCGGCCGGCGTACTATTATTATTATTATTATTATCATTTTAATGCCTACTAGGCATTAAAACTGTAGTACATACTGCTCTTCATCAACCCCAGTTTGCAAGTACAAAACGTACAAACGCGTGTACACATGAGCCCTACCTAACACATACTACAACTACTTGGCAGCATACTACACTACAAACACCAGTAAATACTGCGAATACCTAGCAGACACAGACAGTCAGTAACAGCACCAGATTGCCTATTTGGGCAACCCCACTTCTGTTAGTTAAGACAATTAGTACAGCCATTGACATCAGCAGAACTCCATGCCTATAGAAAAGAACTGCATCAATAAGGACAAGAGATCACACAATAACACAAAATGCATTAACAAATCATGGCCATAAGTCTGTGGTGTCCACAAACCTGTCCCTTCGCCCAGCACAACAACTGTTGTGGTGTGGATACATCAAGTGCTGCTGTACAGGTCTTAGCATGTGTGCGTTACACCTACACTGGCACTATTCTCCCACGGAATAACGAGCCCAAACAAGCCGAAGGCCCAAGGGTCCGCCTGTATGTGCCACGCATAATGTACAACCGGGTGTTAGCTGACCGCACATACTTCTCTTTGGGGTAGGGCGGCCAGGCCGCCTTTCGCTCCTTGCCGGACTTCAGCTTCCTTGTTGCTGCCCGGACCTTAAACTTGTT